GCTTGCTTTCAGGGTCGTAACCATAAACCCAACTTTCGTCACCAGTGACAACCTTCGAAAGAAAGTTTGGATCCTCTTGAAGATGTTGCTGAAGTTCCCTGCAGACTTCCAAGCGACGCTGCTTCTGTTCATTTTGCAGCAGTCGTGGCACAAACTTCGTCGCAATCCTCCTCATGTTCAGTTCCTCTGACAAAATTTGCTCACATATACCATAACTTAGTCCCAAGGTGTTAGAGGCCTTGGATGGCCAGTCTACGATCTTGCAGAATCAGATCCCTAACTTTTGCGACATTTTCTGGTGTTTTGCCTGTTGACGGCCATCCCGAACGATCGTCATCATCAGTCAATGTTCGGCCATTTTTAAAACGCTTATACCAGTTGTAAGTTTGTGTCTGGCCTAAACTGTTTTCACAAAAAGCTTGCTTCAACATTTGGTGCTTTTCTGCAGCGGTTTCCCCAAGTTTGAAACAAAACTTTATACAGACATGCTGCTCTCTCAGGTCAGCCATCGAAAAACCGCAAACTCACAGAAACACAACAATGGAAATACATTCACCAACAATAAGCCCAACCACTCAACTCGATGCCGCTTGCCACACTGATTCAAGAAGGACTTGTGAGGAGACATCTAGCGGTATTTCAATGTTCTCATAACCATTCGCAAGCAAAATTCAAATTTCAGAAACTTTTGGATTGCCCCACGTATAATCAAAGAGTCATTACTTCTTTTGCAATACAGCACATAATAAAATTTCCTTGAAAGTAGTAACTCACGTCTAGGACTTCAATCAAACACATGTAAATTAGTAAGCTATAATATGCTTGAATTTCCCTAGCATCAGCGCTCTCCCACTTTAAAGCAAACCAGTCTATTTGTTAATAAGAAGCTAATTTTTTAACTTGCTGGGTAACCCATTCATAAATTTTACCATCAAGGAAGAAAAAAGTAACAAATTTTCATGCTCTCACACAAAAATCATAAACATTTCCCACGCCATGAGAGAACATTTTAAGCCAACCAAACTTTCCAACTCGGAACTCATGTCACACAAATGATTGGGCTCGTTTTCATATAGAGGTTCTTGAAGACTAATTAACAAACTTCAGAGTCTGATATGTCCAGCCATTCACAAAAGACGCAAAGAATAACTCTCGTAATCCAACTCTTCCTCTCGTATCAGTGGGCTACATTACTTTTCACAGTATGCATATGGTAAAGTTATCCCTGTGCTTAATTAATTAAGCACTATACCATTAAGGTGTATGGGGGAGTGAATGTATAGATCCACATTTTCTTGACCTCAGCACTTGTTGGAGGTGAGTGGTCAGCTTCACGCCCCTGCTGCTTTACGCCCGGGGAAAAAGCCCCCAGTACACACTGAACAGGAGGTTGGGTGGGCCCCACAGCCAGTCTGGTAGCCTTGGAGAAAAGTCTTGGCCCTACCAGGACTCAATCTCCGACCCCTCAGTTGTCCAACACATAGCCAGCCACTATACTAACTATGCTACATGGAAGATAAAAAGGGGGGAATGAATCTGTGACTCAGCCTGTCTAGTGCTATTGAAAACTGACCTGATCCAATCTGTGACTCACTGCCTGACTAGTGCAACTGAAAACTGACCTGATCCAATCTGTGACTCACTGCCTGACTAGTGCAACTGAAAACTGACCTGATCCAATCTGTGACTCACTGCCTGACTAGTGCAACTGAAAACTGACCTGATCCAATCTGTGACTCACTGCCTGACTAGTGCAACTGAAAACTAACCTGATCCAAACATCTTATCAGAGCTTTGAGTTCTAAACTCAGCATTGGTGTGATACATGATGATGACATGGCCTTCACTTTCTCTTCCACTGTTACCACAAAATGTGTTCATTTCTGTAGATGCACTCAATTTAGTGGCTGATTCTATATGTTTTACTATGTGAAATTTGAACTTGTCATGGAAGTAATTTTGAAGCATAGTGTCTTCTGGGATGTGGTATCATGTAGTCTGGTAGAAGTGTACCAAGTCATGTAGGAACCTGCCTGTGCCATAGCTCAAGCGGTTAGTCGCTGGTTTCCCACTGTGGCGGTCCAGGTTTGATCCCGGGTCTGGTCAAGTGGGATTTGTGGTGGACATAGTGGAGCAGGGGTGGGTTTTCTCGAAGTACTTTGGTTTGTCCTGCCAATCTTCATTACACCAAATTCTCCATCATCATAATCACCTGGGGCAGGCTACAATAGGCCAATCTGTGGCCGCTGTGCCGAGTGGACCCAGTTGGACCCCAACCCCCACTAAGCAAATTTTATATAGGAACCTACTGCCTCCATCATGAGGGTCAAAGAGTATGCTGAGCAATCCAGTAGCAATACACTTCATGTTTTACAACATTAGAAGGAACAGGGCCTTTTTGAGGGTTAATTTTCACAAACTCACTTTTCAGGACAAAGCAGAACCAAAATCCACCAGTTCTTACAAATATGGATTTCACCTGTTACATAATTTCATTGCTTCTTCCCAGAACTTGCCATTTCATAATCAATGAACACAAGATTTTTACTGATATAAAGCAAATGGCAAAATGCTAAAAGAAACCAAAAACATTAAAATTGCACTCTAACTTACTGATAATTGGATGGTTATGGAAAGGCATGACTGCCAGGGAACACTTTTCTATGAGAAGTGAGCAGGCCTGTTTCATGAGTTCACCTCCAAGGCCACGGAACTGCTGGCGTTGCCTAAATGTAGGGACCAGATCCCGAACCTGCTCCATAATTTTCACACCTACAAAAAAATAGAGCAGAGGTCTACTGTAATGACAAATTTGTTTTCAAGTTTATATATATATACCATCAATTTACTTATGATAAACACAGCAAAATTATTTTATTTTAATAAGAATACTTTCCTAGAACACCCAGTTGAACAAATGCATTCTCACATTTCTGGTTTCATGTGCTAAAAAATAACAACTTACCAATGACATCCTGTACAGTGCAATCAGACTGTTCAGCCACAATAGCTAAGGCATGAAGAATTTCAGCGATGGCCAGAACAGAACCATGGCAAGTGTTCAGATCAACTGTAGATGTTTTATCCAAGAGGACAGGAAGAACAGTCTCAGCCATGTATGTTGAAGCCTTTGGTGTCAGGTTGTGAAGTGCCTGTCCGACATATATTAATATGAGAATAAATAATTCACATAACACGTTTCAGCAACACTACGAAGGAAGTACTCCATCACATACTACACAAATCATCAACGGTGACTTTTCAAGTTTCATATTCAACACAATTAAAAAGGGAATAATAAAATATATATTACTGAAACTCTCTAACATCAGATTAAATAAAACTGTGCAAAAGTTTATAGGATATGTGAAAAAGAAAAAACCTGATCTGTGGTCATGTGTACATTGGGCTATATTATGAATATGTCTAAAAATTGAAACCGGAAAATTATTTTCAGTGGAAGCTGCCCATACTAAATTTTAACAAAATCTGTGGAACAGTTTATGGAATAAATGAAAAGTCCACTAACGCTGCAACGAAAACAAGGCTTTATTATGGCTCAATCAATTTTGTGAAAGCCTCCCATACCAAATTTTAACAAATTCTGTGGCACAGTCCACGGGATAAATGGAGAAGTCCATTTATAGGCTTAGGTAAAAAGGTGAAATCTCTGTATTTATTAAGCTCTATGCCATGAAGACTTGATGTATAATATCACCATTCTCAATCTCAGCACCAGATGGTGTACACAGTAATTCAATTATGGATCAATAAGGTTGACAATTCAGCTCGCCAAACAGCTTTTAATAAAAGTTTCCTATATCAAATTTTATGAAGATCTGTCCAATGGTTGAGACCCTTTTACAAAATCAAAGACATGACTCCACATATGGTCAGTCTAAAAATACAAGTTATGATTTATTATGTTTTACTAGCTTATCTATGCACAGATACACTTACATATATGGAAGTAACTTCCTAACCTTTGCAGTAAGCTCCCTGATGACTATGTCCCAGTGTCCAACCTTCCTGTCTATTAAGTGATTGATAAGGAGCAATGTGTATTCTTCGAACTGAGCAATATACACACTGAAAATGAAGGTCTTGCATCATTAAAAGTTATCTTCTACCACAGGGCTGTACACATAATGTCACTTCTGTGACATTAAGAATAAAACTACACTACACAATAAGTTTGAATAACCAAGTCCATTTTGCTTCCCCAATATAAATAAACAGACTCTCCAGTGATCATCAGTAGGGAATTTGTTTATTTATTTATTTACCATAAAATGGCCTGTTGAAAGCAGATAAACTGAAAATATTAACCTTTATGAGCTGAAAGACACCGTATGGGGACCTTTAAAGTAAAGCCGAGTGGCCAAAAGACACCGTATGGGTATGCGCAGTCCACGCGTGCGCACAGTGTTTTAAAATCTAATTTTAAGATAGAAATTCTTGTTCTACTTATATTATTTTTGGACACCAGCTTTATGAGTAGACTGTCTTCGCTCCTGCATCATCTAACTGAATGTTGCATGTCACTGAATGCAGAGTCTGACGTCGCAATTCATGCACTTTGTCCATAATTAACTATGGTTTCCACGCGAAGCACACAGACGCAATGTTAGTCTCGTATTAGCAGGAAGTAAACCAGTGATGGCAAGTGGTGTAATCTATTCATAACGCTTATAAAACATCGCAAATTTCAACTATGCACCATGGCCCCTTTTCGCATTGAAGATTACGAAATTGAGAGGCCGCTCGTAAATCACACCATTCAGAATGCGTTACAGTTTATTCTGAGGGGACATGGAAGCTAGTGATATGAGGTGATATTCCAAGAACTGCCTCTGTGTGGATAGTCTGACATACGTGAATAAACAAACAGAGTTTCATAAGGCAATGTAGGATAAGAACTCGCCCACACTCCGGTACACAGGAAGCCTAGGAAGCCTACATGACTGGAGATTGTGCAGTACATAAACATTCTCTCCTATTGCCAGATAAAAAACACAGACAGTGCCTCAGCACCATGCATTTATGCTGCAGAAATGTATTGTGCAGAAGCTTTATGCATTTTTGTGGACAAGCGCTCAAAATTGGGAAAATTTTTTTTTGGAATCAAGGGCATTTAAATTAACTCCATCCCGCTGCCACTATCAGAATTTAAATGGCCCGTCCCATAAAGGTTAATAAATCAGTCTCATTTGCTATAGACTTATGACAGGGAATACCATTCCTTATTAGAATACTCACAATAAAATTATTTACGAGAAAGAGTATATTTTAGAGGCTAGTTACAACAAATGGTGACATGATTCATGCATATTAGGGTGTAATATTGATTTTATTCACAAACAACTTAAAGGAATTGCATCACTAATTAAGGGAATGTCAGCCAAGAGAACACCTGTAATTGGTTCTACACATTGCATTAATGAAGCAATGTTATGTTCCAGAAACATCAATCCAACCCCCATCTACAGTCAATAAACACATGACAATACTGATTACCATTTTCTCAGCATCAACCTAATGTAACACAAAATGCTTTCCTCACTCAATTATACACATTTTGCCTCTATCTTCTCTTAAACCAATAAACTTAACACAGCCCTAAAATAATTTTGGCCCCAAAATAATGTGGGAGTGCTGTGTGGCAAACAGAGTCCATATCATGATTTGTATGGAATTTATTTAGAAATCTGACAGGCATCACCTACTTTGTAAATATGTGTATAGCCACAAACTCTGTTTATTCTCGATCTAAACATGGGATTTCATGTGAGATGTGATGTCCTCTCAATATGAAGTTTATTGCCTTCTGTGATGTGCCACAGTGAAGGGACCATATACAGCAGTAATCAAAGTCATATCATTAGACATCAGGCAAAAATAAACTTCTTCCATGCATGCAAGTAGGAGAGGGAAACCTTGAAATTCACATGAAACCAAACACAACATTTTTAAACAGTACAATCTTAGAAACATTGCATTAACTCATAATTCATCAATTCTGACAGATATTACTGATACAAAATGTCATGTTTACATAAAAATAAATCTCAACCAATTCCTATTACTCTAGTCTATTCTACAGTTCCTCTTTTTGAGGTTAAATTGGCTGCATTTACTGTTTCATTATGAAAGAGAGAGAAAGAAAACCGACCTGACATTGAGAAAAGCATTAGTCCTGACGCCCACAGAGACGTAGTCTGCAGCAGTTACAATCTCAATACCATGAGGAAATGTCCCCTGTCTTCCAACATTCTCCTGGAATGCAGCTGAAGCTGCTCTTCGACATTTGAGCTATAAAATAAAATTGAACCACAAAACTTGAAAAGGATCAGTCAGCAGTCAGCACAGTTACTTACACTACTGTGGCTGCTGCAGTTACAGTTCAATGCCCAGTGACTTTTCAGGAAAATATCAGTATTTTTAGTATTATGGAAAAAGAAATTTCTGTCACAATACCAAGGAATGCACAAGGTCACTATTCTCATCCTTCCTTTAATTCACTTATACAAATTCGAGATATTTGTGTTTTTACTATTTGTTTCTTTCTCACTGATATGCCCTGCAGATACCCCTTTTATTTTTCAAACCCCAGCTAGTTCCTCCTTTTAGTGTAACACAATTAATCTAATTCATTTATTTGGTTGCAAAACTGCAGCAATTCCTTCCATCTATTTATGGCTCTACAGCCCTTGTGGACCTTGGCTGCTTTTTCAGTTTTTTAATCTATATAGAGCCAGGTAGGACTCCTTGGATGAGGGATCAGCATGATGGAAGGCCCCTACCTACACACAGAATAATACAAACACAGAATAAATGCACACAGACATCCATGTTTCAAGTGGGATTGGAACCCACAATCCCGGTGTTTGAGCAGGTGAAGATGGTTCATGCCTTAGACCGCGCGGCCATTGTGATTGACAGCCACTGCTTCTAGACTTACTTAAATCACTTTAGTATATAAAGCACTTTTTACAAAACCATGATTTTAGCTACAAAACTGTGTGATATCTCAAATCTCTTCATGTGATACCTTCCTATGCACTATTAATGCTAATTTCATCACCTTCTGTAACTGATATTCTCATTCAACTTACACATTACTAAATGCTTCAACATTCAACTCCATATCTCTAAGAAAACTGAATTTGCAATTAAATGCTTACATCTCTGTCGAACGCTGTCACCACTAACAAAGCTCCTGCAATATCTTTCACAAAAGGCTGCAGAATAGCTGGGTCATATGCTCTAGCAAATGCCCAACAGACATAGCATGCACCATCACGAATGTGGGCCCCCACTGCGCCATAGCCCTTTTGTTCATCATACATCAGAGCTTTAAGTATGAGTGGTACCACTTCTCCCAGCCGCTGCGGCAGAAGAAGTCCCCTGCGACCCAACTCTGCCAGAGCCAAGCATCCGCCATGCCATGCCCCATTGGATTCTCGTGGACTGAACAGTTCAAGAACTGAACCCACAATTTCATCTGCCAATTCCTTAGGAAGCCGTCCTGTTACTCTCCCAATGCCTTTTGCAGATGACCACCTAAAATTTAACATAAATCATACCTCTTGTGATGGGTTCTTCAGGTTTCTTTAGCTACATCAATTAGATGCAAGATAAAGTATACCTACTGGGTTCATATCACACCACATTAGTAGTTATGTATATATTTGCCTGAATTAAGAAGCTAATAGCCACTGCTCATNCAGATGCAAGATAAAGTATACCTAGTGGGTTCATATCATACCACATTAGTAGTTACAGTCAACTCTCGATTATCCGGGCTAATGGTGGGGATGGANTTTCCAAAACGACAGATATATATAAAAAATTTCATGTTCTGCGTTGTGTGTATACGATGGGTATATGATGAAGGGTCAATATGGCAATATGTAAACAGTGTCAAGGACAAGGAATGGTTTACTTGAATGGTAATGATACATATCGCCATTTCCCATTATGTCTTATTACAATAATTCTGATGACTGATGATACAATTTTCTGATTTTATTTCTGTAATCAACAAAATGGGAGAGTTCTATCTTCTAGGATGTATCAACATGCAGTCCAGTGTAACTTGACCATCACTTCAGAGGTACGTATGCCTCCATCTTTCAGGATCAAAGAGTTGGCCATGCAGGAAACAAGCATGAAGTGTGTAAAGGGATGCATATAGGATTTTGGTGGGAAAAGCAGGAAAGAGACCACTAGGAAGAAACACAATGTGTCTGATATTAAAACAGATCTTACAGAAACAGCGTGGGGTAGTATGGACTGGATTCACCTGGCTGAGGATCAAGGACCAGTGGCAAGTTCTTGTGAACGTGGTAATGAACTATGAGGTTCCACAAAATGTTGAGAAATTCTTCAGTAGCTGAATGACTGGCATCTTCTCAGGGATTCAGCTCCATGGAGTTGACCAGTTAGTTATAACAGCATTTTTCTGGAGGGACTCAGGAAAACCACAAAAAAAAACCTGTCAGGATATCAAATTACTTGGCTGGGATTCAAATCCCACACCTCCTGCATATGAAGCAGAAATCCTAACCACTGCACTGCAGTGTCCACTAACAGTGACAGAAGTGAAGGTATACTGGAAGGCCTACCTAACTACAGTATTAGAATCTCTGAGTCCCTGCAGCAGTTCTTCTATCACCTCTTCAACATCATCAGGTATTTCAAAGTCCTCATTCATTTCTTCTTCTTTCTGGGGTACTGGGTTCACTGGCAGAGGATGCACTGCAGTGAGATTTGCAGCAAGTGACCTGCTACCACGCTCGTAACGCCATGCCGCCACACGCACCTTTAGGAATGTTAGACCTTTGGACAACAGCATAACATCAGAATCCAAAAGCAAAGTGAGAATTTCTGAGAACAACATACGACACACACTTTCCTTCAAGGGCTTCAGTATACATGGTGAGGTGAATAACTGTTTAATTTAGTGAATGACTTCTATTAAAATAAATTCACGCTATATTACACATGACACACACACACTTCAAAGTATGGCACTTTCATTGTGTGTAAACATAAATAAAAAAAAAGTTTTGCATAAAATGTGGAAGTTTGTTTGTGATCTATATCAACACAAAATGCCATGCTTCTAGTGCCAACAGTTCATTAGATATTACCTTAAAAAATATAACTAAATATAGCCAACATTTTTCCAAGCACCTAAAAGTTCATCAGATGGTCAAAAAGGTTCTGCATTTTATAGAACCCAAAGGTTCATTCCTATGTCTACAACTGCCTGCCATTGGCCCCTCTTCTAAGCCAAATAAGTCCGGTCCCTACATTCCCATTTCATTTCTTTAAGATCCATTTAAATTCTATAAGTCTGTTCAAATTTTGGCATTTGCAGACGATATTGATATAATTGGTAGAACACAAAAATCTATGAGAGGAGCTTTTCTTAAATTGGAAAGAGCAGCAAAAAAGATGAATCTACAAATTAACCAAAATAAAACAAAGTACATGCCGGTAACCAAGAAAGACTTGCTAATGGACCTGCATATATTGAAATTGGCTCATACAAATTTGAGGTTGTAGGTAGTTATACTTACCTTGGATCAGAAGTTAACTGTAAAAATGATAAGTGATGAAATAAAAAAGTGTGTACTTGCAGCAAATAAATGTCTCCATGGCCTTAGGAAACACCTGAAATCCCAACTAATACCCAGGAAAACCAAAATTATGATGTATAAAATATGATCAGTGCTATCTTATGCCTCTGAGACCTGGCCACTGTCAAGATCGGATGAAAGACTGTTAAGTATATTTGAAAGGAGGATCCTGAGATATATCTTTGGACCACTGGAAGAAAATGAATATGGAGGAAGAGGTATAACCATCAGCTATACAATCTGTTTAATGAACCAGACATTATTGGATTTATAAAGGTGAAAAGGCTTGAATGGGCTGGACACACAATACGTGCCAGAGAGAATAGAATGATTAAGAAAATGCTTAAAACTAAACCAGAAGGAAATAGGAGAGTAGGAAAACCAAGATTGATATGGGAAGAATGTGTGTGGCAGGACATAAGAAGTTTGGGTGTAAAGAACTGGAGGAGTAGCATCGAATAGAGAAGAATGGCGAGCAATCCTGAGGAAGGCCAGGGCTCACAAAGGGTTGTCATGCCAGTGATGATGATGATGATGATGATGAATAAGATCCATTTAACCCTTTGACGTGGTCATTTAAATTCCGCGGCCGCGGCTCCTGCGGTAATATATTCAGCCGGCCATTTAAATTTNCCATTTTAATATTATCCTACCACCTACACCTATGTCTTCTAAGTGGATTATTTCATTCATATTTCCTGACCAGAATTCTGCATGCACTTCTCTTCTCTTCCATGCATGCCCACCCCCCTTCCCTCCCCCAAACTTATCGGCCCTGATTTGATAATCCTAGCAATATCTAGCAAACAGTACAGCTTATGAAGCCAGTCATTATGCAACTTTTTCCAGCCGCCTGTTACTACCTCACTCTTAGGTCCAAAAATTCTCCTCAGAACCCCATTCTCAAACACTCTCGGCCTATCTCTTCTTAATGAGAGAAAATGAGGAAGAGGTATAAGTCAAAATTTTATGCATGTAAATTTACAGACATCTTATCATCCAGAGGCTATACTGGGTACACAGTACAGTTTTTTGAATTGTCCCACTTCCAGAAGCAGGATCCAAATTAACTGTAATAACTACATGGTGTGTTCAAAAAGTATAGAACCTTCTTTTTCCCGCGTAAACCAATGAAGCGCAGGAGGCTCCCTTCGGTGGAGATGTGGAGGGGACATTCATGTGCAGTCGTGAATTATTTCCCGCCCGCAGAAAGTGTCAGTCGCTGGCAGTCGGCCTATGAGTGAGGATGTGTAGTAAGCACTCATCGGATGCCAGTAAGGTGTAAGATGACGGAACAACATGAGCAGCGATATTGCATCAAATTTTGCCAAAAGCTTGGCGATACCCAAGTGGAAACCATTCGCAAGATTCAACAGGCTTTTGGGGACGATGCCATGAGCAACTCACAGATAAAGGAGTGGTACAACCGCCTCAAAGATGGCTGCACATCAATGGACAGCGAACCGAGTTCAGGCAGACCCTCAACAAGCCGAAATGAGAATGTCATTGAGCAAGTGCGGACTTTGGTCATGGAGGACCGTCGTATCACAGTCCGAGAACTTGCGAACAAGATAGGGATAAGCATTGGATCAGTACATTCAATTTTGACCGAGGATTTGGGCATGAGGAGAGTGTCCACGAAATTCATACCGAAACTGCTAACAATGGAGGAGAAGGAACGCCGCCTGGAAATCGCACAGGACATGCTGGACAATGCAAACAGTAACCCCAACTTTCTCAACACCGTGATCACAGGCGATGAGTTGTGGGTTTATGGGTACGACCCAGAAACCAAGATGCAGTCGTCACAGTGGAAACATCCAACATCCCCGAGGCCAAAAAAAGCACGGCAGGTCCGCAGCAATGTCAAGGTCATGTTGGCCGTTTTCTTCGGCTCCCGTGGGGTTGTGCATCATGAGTACGCACCACAAGGCCAAACCATCACGAAGGAATACTACCAGGAGGTCCTTCGTCCCCTTCGTGATGCCGTGCGGTGCAAACGACCAGATCTGTGGGCAGCAAAAACTTGGCAGCTCCATCACGATAACGCACCCGCCCATTCTGCGCATCTGATTCAGACTTTCATTGCCAAACACAACATCCCTGTGGTTCGTCAGGCTCCCTCCTCCCCCGACATGGCTCCGTGTGACTTTTGGCTATTTCCCAAGCTGATAATGCCGCTTAAAGGAACCCAATTTGAGTCAAGAGAAGACATCATGCGGAATGCGATGGCCCAGCTGATCACCATTCCAAGAGACTCATTCCAGAAGTGTTTCCAACAATGGCGGAAGCGCTGGGAGAAGTGTGTGCATTACCAAGGACACTATGTTGAAGGGGATTAGGGTTTTGTACCTCCAAATCAATAAATGCATTTCTGCCGACCAAAGGTTCGATACTTTTTGAATTTCCACTTTTCCACGTATTAAAGAGAACCTCATGAAATGTGTGATGATTACTTTGAAAAAAAAAAGTACACAAGATATATCAGCCAGAGTTATCAATTTATTAAATGTGAGTGAGTCACATTACAGTATCAATTTTAATAATAACATGTAAATTGTAAACATTATTTAAAATCAACTGGGATGACTATGTATGGTGAACCAGGAAGACCATGGAGGAAATTTATTTAGTGACCCTATAAGTAACTGAGACACACACCCATATCCATGCACGTCTGCACGCACACACAGAGCACTAAATTTCAGAATGATTAACAAATGAAGAGTTGGAAAGTGTGTGGCCTGTTTCAAGGCACTATGAGCATCTGCCTGAAAAAACTGAGGAAAACTACACAAAACCTCATTCCAATATTTAAATTGTGCACATCCTAAACACAAGCCAGGAGCAATACCTCTTGAGCTAACTTGTTCAGTGGGAAAGATGTGGTCTTGGCCTGTTCCAAGGGGCTATCCAGGAATTTGTATAGAACAAGAAAATCGTGAAAAATCTTTAGCAGGATACCCTGTGATCTGTCAAACAACTGAACTGCATGTATACTGAATGCAAGTGCTACATACACTCAACCTGTGCTTATCAACCTTTATTGTGCTTGTGGTGCACACAATGGTTTGGTAGGCTGCAGCAGGTTCAGCATCACACTGCTTAAAATATAAATCAAATTGCTTCGAAGTTCAAATCTAGCCACCAGTGCCATGGTAGCAGATTTAGTTCTTGACATTAAGAGTTAACTGCACACAGCCAGCCATGTCTGAATATATGGAAGATAACTAAATTATTTTAATCATATCTTACCTATTCTTTGTATGACTTTAACACCAAATTTCCTGATCAAGATACTGGGGTTATCCCGGTACTTGCTTGCTAGAATACATTTCAACAGTGAGTGAGCATGAGAAAGCAAATCCTCCCTCTTCCCATGCTTCAAAATCGATGCGACTGCTGCCAGAGACCCACACTGTGCAAATAGTGTACTGTCAGAGGACACAATCTTCTGAAATAAACAACATACATCTTGTGGTTTATTTAAACCGTTCACATCTGTAAGTGCATATACATGGTTTCACCAAGGTGCATAAATACATGGGAGAGTATCTTCACTCGTCTTAGTGGTTCATTAAGTTTGCTTTGCTCTACCATGGCCATCTTTGACATTGGCAAATATTACATTGACATCTGGTGGATAAATTTTTAACTAGTATAAATACATAACTGTAATGAAGAGTTCTGCTTCCTTTTGATTATCCATCATCCTGTCTTTATCTAAAAACACCGTCCTGTTTATTTTTCAAAACACGCCATTTCTGAGACTGGCTTCTGTCTCCGTCTCTATCGATTGGGTCCAACTGAGTAGATTTACCTGAAGACGAAGACAGAATCCATTCTCCGAAATGCTGTGTTTTGAAAAATAAACAGGACAGTGTTTTTAGGTAAAGACAGGACAATGGATAATGTCCAAAAAAAATATTTGTACTGGCACACTCTTTTGTGATTTTAATTAGGTCACAGCTGCCCATAAACAGGCAATAAATAAAAAATTCAGCTACCATCATGCATTTGCTGACTTTGTATAGAATGACTCTATAGCAATTTTAACAATAAACAGCTATAACAAACAGAAATTGGGTGACAAACCATTGTAATCTAATGGATACACGAAATTTGTATGGCGAAATGTTATAAACCCATCTACTAGCAGTATAAATGATATTAAAACATACAAGCAGTATCATTTGGAACGATAACATGTACCAGGCCATTGCAGGCAAAGGTAAAGTTATCTGTGTACTTAATAAATTAATTAAGCATGTCATGAAAATTTATGGGAGAGGTACAGCTCCTCTATTCTTAACCTCAGCATTAAATGGTGCTGAGTAGTCAGCTTCATGCCCCTGCCACGTTACACCAGAGGAAAGAGTCCTCAGTACCCACTGTAAAGGGAAGTGTGCCCCAGAGCCAGTAGGGACACTATCAAGAAGAGAAAATCTTTTACTCCAGCAGAGAATCAAACCTCAATTCCTTAGCCACTCATTCTGTAGCCTAACTGCTTTCTGAATGAACTGTTTTGACCACTGCACATACCCTCAATTGCGTCCGTCTACTCTACAAACCTGGGTATATTATACCATCTTGTGCAGGCAATATTAGGGAAGACAAACCTTCTGTATGCATGTTTGAATTTCCCAGTGGCATGTGAATACTTAAGTATGTTGAAGACAGATTCTAGTAACTTTCTAAACACAAAAAACAGGGCACCATCACTCAAAGAGCAGATGCAATTTACATACTTGTTTTATTAAACTGACTGACAACTACACACTGGGAAAACTTAACAAAATTATGTTACTTCACTCTAGAGCAGCTAAAATTTAGTAACATCTTACAAATTTTCTTTGGTAACACAGACAATAACACAATTTTCACTACTGGCACACAGAGCAAGCAACTGATATTCAAGTGTAATGTATGCTTGGCAGATGGTCACAGAATACGCATGCAGTTTGTGGGACCCTGTTTATTTACATTTAATGCAATTTGAATGGCAGACTCAGTGGAGAGAGGGACCCAGTATATACAAATACTTACACCTTTATTCTCACCGCGGCGGCCCAAGTTTGATCCCGGGTCTGGTCAAGTGGGATTTGTGGTGGACAAAGTGGCGCTGGAGCAGGTTTTCTCCGAGTACTTCGATTTCCCCTGCCAATCTTCATTCCACCAACTGCTCCACAATCACCCTCACCTATCATCTGGGGCTGGTACAATAGGCCAGAAGTGGCCACAGTACAAGGGACTTAGTCCCACCCAAGTAGCAATAAAGAAGAAACTCCTTTATTACAGTAAGCCAAAATATGAATGCCAGAAACAGCAAGGCAGAACGACCGAGACAAAATAAAGTGCATTTTGAAACTGTAATGAGATTGAAAAAGAAATCTGAACTTGTGAAGTGTACTATCTTCTGCAATGTGATGCTGTGCGGTCTAACAGAAGTTGACTAATGTTTCGGGTGATTTTCTACTGGATTATATGGCCTCACGTCCCAGAAGATAGTACTGTCCATAGTCACCGCTGTGATTACCTCAAATCCAGCTCGCAACATATGGCTTTCTTGTTTTAAAAGTATTTCAGATAGGAGAAATGTTCACTTACATTACATGCCCAGTCAAGGAACACAGGTAGGTGAGTTTCCTTCACATCAGATCGAGTCAGGAAGTGTGAAGACAAAAATGCAGCCACACCAAACTGATCATTACTAAATGCATACGTCTTGCATGCAATAAGAATCCTATTCAGAACAAAACAGAGATATAAATTATACAATGCAATTCCACAACTACTAAGTCTGCTCACAGTTGTCAGACAAGATACTAGATGTTTGACCGTGTCTCACGGTGTTGTCGCTTGCAGATTTACTTATACTTTTTCTTCAACCCTGAAGATGGGGGCGATACGTTCCTCCGAAACGTCGGTTAACACCACATATACACGGTGCCAAATCCCAGAAGACTGCTTTCTTCATAGTCACCGCCGTGAAAGCCTCAAATCTTACAAGATACTAGATACTTCTTACAAGGGCCATGCTATAGCTCAAGCAGTTAGTTGCTGGCTTCCCACCGCAGCGGCCTGGGTTCGATCCCAGGTCAGGTCAAGTGGGATTTGTGGTGGACAATGTGGCACTGGTTTTCTCCGATTACTTCGGTTTCCCCTGCCAGTCTTCATTCCATCAAATTCTCCTTCATCATATTCACGCGGGGCAGGCTACAATAGGCCAGTCTGTGGCCGCCATGCCGAGTGAACCCAGTTCATTCCACACCCCATTAAGCATATTAAAAAAAATTACTTCTTACAATGTACTCAAATTAATAAGTACAAACAAAATGGAAAGATCTGGCACAGACTACAATGCTTCTGAGGACAGACTTGAGATCCCTGTTTAGTATATAAAAAGAGCAGATATACTGGACGAAATGTGGCCAACTCCCAAAAGGCCTCTCTTCCTTTCAAAACGAGATACACATATAGTACTAAATACTTCTCACATGTCATTACAGTGTTCACCTGTGCATATGGAACCTGGTGTACACTGAGGCCAACGACATCCAGCATACATTTTTGCATTCTCTTATCCCTAACAATGTCATAACTCTGTGTATGAAAGGCTTACCAGGAGCCCACAGTAGCATGACTCACACATTAAGCAGTACACAAATCTGTCTGGCTTCATTATTATCCTATTTCAACCAAACTGAGATGGTGAAAATAATCTTGTTCTTACAAGAGAATGCATCCACTCCAAGTCTGGGTTCTAGGTTACTGTCAGCACAGATCAGGATGAGCATGACACCAACTTTAAGGCACAACATGGTTAACAATGAATGTAAGGAGGACAGAGCAGTGGGCAAAGGTAAAAGGTAAAGTTGTCCCTGTACTTAACTAATTAAGCAATACGCCATGAAGGTGTATGGGGGAGTGGATGTATAGATCCACGTTTTCTTGACCTCGGCACTAGCTGGAGGTGAGTGGTCACCTTCGTGCCCCTGGCATTTCACCCCTTGGGGAAAGAGTCCCCGGTACCCATTGGGTAGGCCCCAGAGCCAGTCTGGATGACGTGGAGATGAGAAAATTCTTGGCCTTACTGGGACTCAGGCTACGACCCCTTGGTCGTCCAGCCCACAGCCAGTCGCTATACCAACTACACTAAGAGGTACATGGTTTTAAAAAGTAGCAACTGTTTCTCCTGCATCAATTATGAAGCATTATTGTTGTTGTTGTTGTTGTTGTTGTTGTTGTTGCCATTATTATTCCTTACACTTCACTCGAGTACTTCCCTTTCAACTTACCAACATGCAGTTCAATCAAAATGTCTCACCAGTCCACCTTCAAGTGTGGAAATGATCCACAGTGTCAGTTCTCAAACTTTAACAACTCCTGCAGTGAGTTCAAATGGATAAATCATTACAGCTTCACACTTGATCTTGCTGTGACACACCCTACTTAACTTCCATTAATTTCCATATAAGTGAAATGAAGATGGAAGTTGTGGGAATTCATTCACCAGAGTGTCTTTTATGCAAGGTCTGAGGTTGTCACTGCATTAATTATCTAGTAGTGTGGTATAAATTCACTGACATTTTGGAGGAACATGGTAAAACTCTACCAGACTATGCATCATCACATGCCAGAACATAGTAAGGTAAAGCTATCCCTGTAACAGGCCATGGAGGCCCATACAGTTGTGGGACACAGCTCACAGATGGCAGTAAATGCTGTCAGCCTTATGTGCCGGCCACCCTTTACACCCAGGAAATTTCCTGGTACTCATTTCTGTTAGAGGCTGAGTCGACCGCAGGGCCATAGTCCGGCTGAAAGGATTAGGTCAATTGAAAAAATCCACCTCATCAGGATTCAATCCCATGACCTTCAGGCTTGAAGCATAGTGCCTCAACCAACTATGCTACTGTGTGCCCCTCCCAGAATACAGCACTCTTTAATAATTTTTATCATCACCCTGTCATATATGAAAGGGACTACAAAAAAACCCAATCTGGAGTGACAACTAAATACTAATTCTTTGAGGACCCACAACTATCAACACACCTAGCACTGAAATGACTTCTCCAAGGTTACAACATGAGACTGCATTGTCACTGGATGGGTAAATGGTCTAGAAATGATTGTATTGGCTCTATTAGCCCACTTATACATAAATTCTGCAACAGAATCTGTGTCTTACACATTCTCATGCATTATGTAGGATTAGGCGGCAAGCTGGCTTCCGACAGACATAACTGAAATATCAAATAAAACAATCAAGGCCAGGGAACAAATTCATTATCACCAGGAGTAAAACGGATATTCCACCTACTGGGTGTTGACAAAAAATGCAGATTCACACCTTTACCCTAATCAGATAGACCAAAAGCCAAGAGTGTCTAAGACACTGCATGGCAGTACAAGCAATCAGAACACCCAACTCAGGTTGCAGCAGGTAAATAAAAGACAAGCACAATGCAGGGAGTAAGTCTGTCACTAAACCACAATTACCAAGTTATCGCTCCAATATCAAGCCATTATTACCCTGCCAATCAAGTGCTATCAGCAGGGCCCGGATTTTGATGACATGTCATCTTTTTTCCTTGTATCCTATGCGATGCTCTTAAATATATAAATCTCGGATATGAGCTGCTGGTTGCAGAAATGTAAATTTTATAGGTAATTTTTTGTCATTTTTGACATTTTTAGGTTTAAGGTAATTTTTTGGTAAATTTTTGGACTTTTAAGGGTATTTCTTGTCATTTTTGGCCATTTTAGGGAACTTTTCTTCATACGTTTTCTGAAATGTGAATAACATGGAAGCGAAGTGTTCTTTCTTTTCTCCTTTAGGTCATTTTTCTGGATTTTTCGGTCATTTTTTAAATATTTTCAGGTCATCAAAATCCGGGCCCTGCATATTACATTTCTGGGTCATATTTTAGGTCATTTTTCTGGATTTTTTCGGTCATTTTATAGGTCATTTTTTAAATATTTTCAGGTCATCAAAATCCGGGTCCTGGTTATCAGAGTGTACACCCTCATGGATGTCATTGAGTGTAGTAAGGAAATAAAATATTGTGTTTAACATAAGACTTCTATATACAATAATTTATGAAACCACTCATGGAGTCCAAGTTGCAAAAATATTCCAGTTTCATGGTACCACATAAAACAGCAAAAGAGAACATTCCCATATGTTAGGCAAAAAAGAAGACATGAATATGGCATATCACACATCCACAAAACAGGGCCGAGACTCAATACACTAAAATCTTACAAGGTGGGTACTTGCGGGTTTGTACTATGTATATAAATTCAGGTAAAAAGATACAAAATGTAAAGCTATCCCGTAACAGGCTGTGAAGGCCCACAGGGTTGTGAGACGTCGAGGGTCCTGCTATTATGTAAAAAGCAACTTTTAAACCATGTAACAAATTGTTTTCCTTCAAGTTGTGACCAAAATTTTGGCCAAAAGGGAACTTCAAGACAATGATGCTTCATTTTAATAAAGCACCATTGCCTCTGATTTTCTCACACAGTTGTCACACAATATACTGTAACACAACAGGATGCATGAAATGAAAATTATAAATGCTAGTCAAGCAAGTTGCATATATAAATACATGAACACTAAACTAAAGTTACTGAACCGCAATGCTAATTTATATTTTAATAAGAAATGCTTGGCTGAAAACTTAACACCTAAATATACCTTGATATTTGTTGTGTTGTGACAGTTAATAAAGAGGTGGTACACAGTTACCAACATTTGAAGGAAACTTCTGCCTTCATCTTTGGGGTGGACGTGACTGACACAGGTCCCTCCAAAATACTGGCATCTATCTACCAAACTACACGGCATCGCATGCCCCACTCACTCATGGAGCTGAGCCCTACTTGAGAAGCCGCCAACTGTGCAGCTACCCAAGAACTTTCAAGTGTTTTTGGAACCTGAAGGTTCATTACTGTGTTCACAGGAGCCTTCCACTGGTCCCTATCCTGAGCCAGATCAATCCAATCCATCCCATCCCATCCTATTTCTCTAAGATCCACTCACCTATGCCTTGGTCTTCCCAGTGGTCTCTTTACTTCTGGCTTTCACACTAATATCCTATATGCATTCCTCGTCTCCCCATTCATGCTACATGTCCTGCCCATCTCATCCTCCTTGACTTGATCACTGTAATTATACTTGGAGAAAAGTACAAGTTATGAAGCTCCTCATTAACCAGTTTTCTCCAACCTCCTGTCACTTCATTTCTCTTTGGTCCAAATATTCTCCTCAGCACCCTGTTCTCAAACACCCTCAGTCTATGCTCCTCCCTTGTCAGAGACCAAGTTTCAAATCCATACAGAACCAGAGGCAAAATTATAGTTTTGTGTATTCTAATTTTCATGTTTGTAGACAGCAGAAAAGAAGACAAAAAGTTCTGGACTGAATTGTAGCAAGCATGACCCGAGTTCAGTATCCTCCTAATTTCATCCTGAATCAGGTTTTGATTGGCATCATATCCAAGAATATAAAAGTTACTAACTTACTCCTAAAGGCCCATATACATAAAAAGTAAATGTTTCAATCATAGATTAACATCATGTTCAAATATTTAACAGTAACTCCACGATTTAAAATAAAATCAAGACGTTAAGAAAAAAAAGATGAAAAAGAAATGATTTGTTGGGTGAGGGGAGACATACTCAAAACAGTATAAAGCCCAAACCCACTGAAGGATTACATAGAATTATTTCAGTTGGACAAAGTAATAAAACTCTGTATTCCATAGAGAGGTTATGTTGGTCACCACACTGTAAAGCTGTTCCCATAGTCCATAGTCTCCAGTGATCTCAAGAAACTGTGGGGTATAGTGAATGAGCGGGTGATCACGGAAACTTGGGTACTTGTGAACAATAAACCTGTAAAAAGTAAAGTACACATCAGACAACATGCATGTACCTTTCCATGACAGTTTTTCGACCCTCATCTCTTCTCCTGTCCTCAGGTTTGAAACTGTCTAATCGAGACATGTGGACTGGCATCATCACGATGATGGACAGCCATACCAACAAAACACACCGCGTTTCCCACGTTTTCACATCGGAAGGTTCCTGATTTTCAAGTAGCTGAAGAACAGGTTCAATATCTGATACCTGCATATAAACATATAATGCGTAACACTGTTTTAAAATCGAATTTTACTGGAGCTCACGTCAACCTAACAGCAGGAATGTCAAAACAAATAACAAAACTACATAACACAAAACAAATCTTACCTCGTGTGGCAGATGCGTCATTGCTGTTTTGTAACCCCTGACTTTCATTATAATATACAGATATTTGAAAGTAGCGTGTTTTAATTCTATTGACGACTCTCCATTCCGCACAATACTAATTAATTTATTTAAAATACTGTCGAGATGTGGATCCAACAAGTGGGGTTGTTCTTGATATCGATTCAGAATGCAGCTGAAACGTTGGTAAGCCCATTCTGCAGACCTTTCTGATGAATATACTGTCCTTAGATTTTCTATCATAGTTATCACTTCTTCATGTTCTGAAAACATTTCTAGGGCACAGCCCAAACCAATATTATCATCACAATTTTCCTCAACCACCACATTATCGGCTGCCATTTTACAACTGAAGTTCGACTCGCAATCTGGTGGTAACGTGCTGGTAACGTGCATCAGCTTTGACAAACGAAAAACAGCGACTCGTAACCTGGTAAATTGGTAGTAACGCTAGTAACGGTGGTAACATAGATTTCTAGTAACATTTGGATACGTCATTCGGTAATACAAGTTAACAAAATAAATCTACAGAGTTACAAGCATACTACCAACACAAATCCACCTGGATAACAATTGGAATAAAAACTTCATGTAAACACAAAAGACAACTATATTTGGCCAGTAGGGACAGTAATGATCCAAGACTAAAAAGTCACTACAAAATATACTGTAAAATTTTGTCAAAAGTCATTAAAGAAGCCAAACAGAATAACTATAACAGCCAAATTCTAAAATCAAACAATAAAATTAAAACCACCTGGGATATTGTGAAAGTTGAATCAGGAAAGAAATCTGTTAATGAAGACGTACAAAGTTTGAATATTGAAGGGAAGTCCACTAACAATCCACAAGCTATCGCAAGTGCATTTAATGAATATTTCCTTTCATTAGCTGAGAAAACATATTCCAAT